GAATTATCTCGGGAATTAACTGCAGTTGATCCGTATTAAGTCCTAGAGTTAATTCCCAAACTTAACTGGGATCAAGGGAATTTTCGATGACAGCACTGACCAAAACTCAGAGAGCGTAGAATACAGGGAAAATGCGAAAATAGCATGGACCTATAAATTTTCATCGGTAATGCAGTCACCATACTAATTCAAATAGGAATCCAATTTAAAATGTATAAGAGCTTATTTCGGTGACTGCATTACCGACGACAGAGTGGATGTCTATGCTAGTTTTGCAGTTTCTTTGTGTTCTAGATGCGTACAACAAGCCTGTAGGTCCTAGGTTCGATCCTCAGTTGGAGCGATTGCCAAAAAATTTTGTTTTTATTATTTCTTTTATTTTTCTAAATTGTATTTGATTTATATATTTNCATTTTCATCGGTAATGCAGTCATCATACTAATTCAAATAGGAATCCAATTTAAAATGTATAAGAGCTTATTTCGGTGACTGCATTACCGACGACAGGGTGGATGTCTATGCTAGTTTTGCAGTTTCTTTGTGTTCTAGATGCGTACAACAAGCCTGTAGGTCCTAGGTTCGATCCTCGGTTGGAGCGATTGCCAAAAAATTTTGTTTTTATTATTTCTTTTATTTTTCTAAATTGTATTTGATTTATATATTTAATTGCTTTTTATTTTATTTCCGTTTGTTTTATTTTATTTCACGTTTTTATTTTATTATTAGTTAACTTAAATTTTTAGAGTTTAATTTTACTAAAAAAGTCAAAAAACTTTAAAAAATATAGAAGTTATAATTGAATCAATAAAAAAATTAAATGAATATTCTACTGGCCGTGGGACTCGAACCTACGACCTCGCGGCTCGTTAATNATTTATTTCACATTTGTATTTTATTATTAGTTAATTTAAATTTTTAGAGTTTAATTTTACTAAAAAAGTCAAAAACAACTAACTAAAACAAAAATTTTAAAAAATATAGAAGTTATAATTGAATCAATAAAAAAAAAATTAAATGAATATTCTACTGGCCGTGGGATAGGAACCTATGACCTCGCGGCTCGTTAATCCGCATTACTGCCGTCTGTCAAGGCACAATTTTGATCAGATCAATTGTGGCGTTAATCCGAATCTACGCTGCCGTCTGTCTATGCTTATACTCATACTTAACAACATGCCTGACGCGCAAAAACTTCAGCTCTGCTTGGATTGATGTGCAAAGAACTGAGAAAAATAAGTGCGCACATTAAAAAACTCCAAAAATATCTACGTAAAGAGCCTTGAATAAAGTATTTCCTGTTTGAATAGCGAAAGTTCATACCAAACTCTCAAATTGTAAATTTTCAAGTCTTAAAAAAGTTTACGTGAAGAGCATTGCATACAGTATTTCCTGTTTAAGTCTTAAAAAAGTCTACGTGAAGAGCATTGAAAAGAGTATTTTCTCTTTGACTGAAGAAACACTCAAAGAGTAAAGTTTCGAGTACAAAAAAATTGTTGTTTCTCTCTACGTTTCTCTTCGTGCAAAGTTTTGATCTACAAACCGCTTGTTCAAGTTTTTATTAAAATAAGTCGAAGAAAATCTCTAAATAGGCAATTTCGCAAAAATGGACGTCTTGGCATTGAAGCTTCGCCAGAAACAAGTCCTCCAGAAATGGAATATCATATTGGTCGAAAAGCGGTAAGATGAAAAACATATTTCCAGTTGATTTTCATCATTCAACCCAAAAACGATATAGGCTTGAAAACAAAAATCATAAACCCGAATTCTCCTCGAAAAATTCATAGTGTGCAAAAGAGAAGGTATCGCCACTGTGAAACTTCATTTTTCAGACATTGTCCTTTTCTTTTTTAACCAGTTTACAACACAGTTTTCTCAGGACTCCATCTTTACGAGCACGATTGAATAAAACGCCAGTAAATAAATGTCAACACAGGAAAATTTAAAGAGGTATATAACTTCAAAAACGCAGTATTTTTTTATCTAGCGAAATTCCAAATGATATGACTAAGAGCGTTCACAATTTTTATGAAGACAAATCCTACTTCGAAAAGAGAATGCGAAATTGCTGTAAACATTAAAATTTTAAGAGGTGTGTAATTATGCTTGTTGTTGACTATCCTGCAAGAACAGTGACTATCATTTGACAAATCATTTGAGTGGCAACACTGATAGAGATTTCTTTCACTGGCTACCTACAAGTTTCTATAAAATTCTAAAGGGCAGTGTGAAAAAACTGATGTAAGCACGTACATGTACATGTGATCTTCCGTCTTCCTCCAACTTATGGCCTAATATATTGGTCTCATTTTAACCAACGCAAAATTTGCAAATGTGTTAATAAAATAAATGAGAATGTGTTAGTTTCCATCCCACAATTCTTGTAGGGTAATTACTCAACAAAAAATTATTGATTAATCGCTCTGAATGAAGAGTGTTTATAGAAATCTAAAAGTTTGCATTAGAAGAGGATTTTTACTAATCATGAAATTGAAGAAAAAAGAGTATAGAGAAAGAAGCTTTTAAAAATATGTCTACATGCAGAGCCTTATAAATCCTTTTTGGAATAAATGCTCTTTATTCAGAGCCTTATATAACCCTCATAAGAGCACAGACTATTAGAAGAGCCTTGGGCGGTTTGTACTTGCGAGCTTTCAAACTTAAAGCGGGGTTATCCAATTGAAAAATAAACGCAGCTGATTTAGCTTAATTGGTAGTTTATTCGTAATACTATTATTTGCGGTTGGTAAATTCAGCTAAATGTATAAGACTTAGGCGGTTTGCGAGCGGTAGCTTTTCACGTCAAAAAACGAAGTGTCCAATGTAAAGTTACAAGCAAGGCGAATTTATATAAGGTGGTGTTGTTTCATCAGTTGTGACTAGTGTTTGATTGTCAAAATTTTGTATTTCGTTAGTGAGTGAGTGAAAACGTGAGTGTTTGTATTTTCTATCGCCCTTTTTCATTCGGGAAGAATAGCTGAAATTGGACAATGGCCCGCTAAAAGCAAAAACAAAATTCAAGTAATTGTTGTATTTGTTCAATCGATACCACCTTATATGTATTCGCCTTGGTTACAAGAATACAAAAGATAGTTACGATGCAGTGGTACGAAAGCAAGTAGAAAGCAAATAAATATCAAATGACAATCGTTGTTAACTCTTGTGTTGCGTCACAACATTAACCCTTGTGAGGGCGTGTATATTAACACTGGTTTAAAAATTCAGTATTAGCTTATTCGAACTCAACATACCATACCGCCGCCCTTGAACTATCTTGATATGTTCAACAAAAATTACATCGATAGAATGGAAAAATAGATGAAAATATTATATATAAGATTATTCGTTAAACTTATTTTCTACAAGTCTTCGCAAAATAGATCTCCTTTCGTTGGTAGAGGACAAATTTTCGCTATAGGTCTAACATATTCTCCATTAGAGGTCTTCAGCGTAACTACTCTTACATGTCCATCAGCTCCAGTTTGGCATTTCAGGACTTTGCCAAGGACCCATTTTGTTGGAGGAGTAGGCTCATTGAATATAGCAACCATGTTACCTACTACGATACTACGTGAGAATCGAAACCACTTGGAATGACGCTGTAAGCTCACCAGGTATTCGCCCCTTCAACGACGCCAAAAATGCTGTCGTATGGCAGAAATTACCTGCCAACGTTGATGGAGATTTCCACAGAACCCTTTACCCTCAGGTGCTGGGAGTGACTTCGACGGCTCACCTATGATAAAGTGTCCGGGAGTCAATGCCTTGAGGTCGCCTGCACTTTTCGGATTTTCGCATATCGGACGGGAGTTTACACAGGCCTCCACTTCGGTAAGTACCGTGCTGAACTCTTCGAAAGACAGTAAAGTCTCACCCAACGCGCGTTTCAAATGGTACTTTATGCGTTTGATACCGGTCTCCCAATATCCTCCCATGTGAGGTGCAGCCGAGTGATGAAAATGCCATTCGATATTCGAATAAGCAAAAAACGAGCGGAGTGTGTCGTCTGCCATACACCGTTTGAAATTGTTGCGCAACTCCTTCTCAACGCCAACGAAATTCGTGCCATTGTCAGAGAACATCACCTTGCAGTATCCTCTACGGTTTATGAATCTTTTAAAGGCGTTGAGGAATGCCAATGAAGTCAGGACACTCACGAATTCCAAATGCATAGCACCGGTGCAGATACACACAAACGAGCAGATGTAGCCCTTGGTGGCTTTCACTCCGCGGCCATGCGTAAATTTATACATGTTGGACCTGCGAAGTCGACTGCACTGCGAGTGAAACAGCGGGCATAAGTAGACCTAGAAGCAGGTAGATCCCCCATTGAATATTGAAATTGCGATTGAGACCACGGTTGCCAACCGTCCCGTTTTCGGCGGGACTGTTCCGGATTTAATACCTATGTCCCGGTCCCGATCCCGGTACAATACCTGCCGGGACGCAAAATGTCCCGGTTTTTGGCAAGAAAGAAATTTAGATATCTCGTTGTAAAAAATTAGAACTCTTTAAATATTTACATATCTATTTACTAATCGCCACTATACGACGTATGGTAAAAGTAAAGCTTGTAATTGTGTCCCGGTTAAAATGAATGAAGTACAAAGTATGTTCGATATTTTTTTGTTTGGAAGAAACTACCTTCAAATAAATTCCCAAAGATCAAAACGATTTTTTTGCTAACTTCAAACTGGCTTATTGTTATACTAAGATCTGCTTCAGTTGAAATCTGGCAGGTATTAAATAACAAAAAATAATAATTTAAATGTGAATAATTTAGTTGAAACTTTTTTAGAATCTTCTTTTATTTCTATTTAAATGAAAGATTTACAAATATTATTAGAATTAATTTCCACGCCAAAATACCCGTACTTTAGAGATGACACCCGCCATTAATACTTGGACATCTCTTTCGTTGATCGATAGGGATAAATCGATACAAGTAAATCCAAGTACGTACTCGATACTTTTCTGAATTTACTAAGTATTTTTGTACTCGATACTTTTTACTGCGATCCAAGTAGGTATCGGAAAAAAGGTACTTGTATCGGAAGCGCAAAACTTATTATGCTTCAGCATCTTTTTTGAAAAGCAACCCATTAGAGGAATTGAAAGATATGCGCAAAACATTTCCGCAGCTATATAAGCAAGCCCGTCTATATAGTGGTGTTGCCGTTGTGCGACTAAAGGAAAAATTTGACCCTTTTTGAGCGCCAATACGCTTTTCCANGGCAATTTGACCCTTTTTGAGCACCAATTTTGAAAATTTTGATTTGTTTACCCTTTTCCAAAATTATGTGCGACCTTTGCCCCTTTTCAGAAGCTTTTTTAGGAAATGTTAACAGAACCATGCTATTAAAAAATATTTCCAACTGTAAGTACGAAAAAATGCATCACTTAAAGTTTTTAAGGGAAATGTAACTCTTCTCGATTTATGTGTATGTTTGCAACCTTTTTTGTGAAAAGCTTGTCCCACTATTTTTCTTTTTAAATTCAACAAATTTATTCTTTTACTAGTAAAGAAAATCAAAAATAATATGGTGACCCTTTTTCTCGTTAATGAACCCTTTTTTTCTACTTTCTGAAAACTCACAACGGCAACACTGCGTCTATACATAACGGTTGTTGGGTCATATGTTCCTTGCGAGATGATCTATTAATCTTGTAAAAATGTATTCTATTGTTTTTTGAAATCAAATACTATAGAAAAATAATTGGTGTCTTAAATTTTTGTCTGAAACATTATTAAAAGATAAATAATCTCATAAAAATGCATATTTTTGGGAAAAAAACAATACAATTACTTTGAAAAATATGCAAAATCGTAGTCTATATATAGTACTCGATACCTTTCCGATACTGGGTAGGTATCGATACCTTGTTTGATACAAGTACAAGTACTGATTTGAATAATACCTTGATGGTATCGATTTATCCCTAGTTGATCGATTGAGCCTGTTTTCGCCACATTCTGCGGAACTGCGTTATTCTTGAAGTCGTGCATTTTGTTTTTTTAATTTTGATTTCATATGGGCCCAATAACGCTCGATCGTTTGCAGCACTGGGCAATTCGGAGGATTGGCCTCTTTTAGTACAATGTTGATTCCATTTTGTGTATAAAACTCTTTCGCTTTTTTTGCACAATGGCTTGTTGCCAAATTAGGCCAAAACAATACAGGTTCTCAGAATAACACTCCAAGTGCAACAATATGTTCAGAGAGATTGGGATTCCTTTTCAAAGTCCTTAGAACATCCTTCTACACTATTTTATTTATATTGCCTGATTTTCAGCCAGATTCCGTCTTTCTCTCAATGCTGCCATTTTTCTTGATATTTGACAATACATTTTGTACCGTCGACTTTCCAATTTTCGGCAATTTTACTAACCGATATAGGGAGATGTGTAGATTTTGCATGAATTCGTCCAAAATCGATTTTCTTTGCTGAAGTTCTTTGCTCTCCGCATCAATTATTTTTAAAGTTATGCATATGAAAATTAACTGTAATAAAAAACAAAGATTGCAAAATCAGCACACTAAATAAACGGCTGATCGAGTAGTCGATAACAAAGTTGTGCTATGTAGAGTACTGCCAGATTGNTTTTGTGAAAAGCTTGTCCCACTATTTTTCTTTTTAAATTCAACAAATTTATTCTTTTACTAGTAAAGAAAATCAAAAATAATATGGTGACCCTTTTTCTCGTTAATGAACCCTTTTTTTCTACTTTCTGAAAACTCACAACGGCAACACTGCGTCTATACATAACGGTTGTTGGGTCATATGTTCCTTGCGAGATGATCTATTAATCTTGTAAAAATGTATTCTATTGTTTTTTGAAATCAAATACTATAGAAAAATAATTGGTGTCTTAAATTTTTGTCTGAAACATTATTAAAAGATAAATAATCTCATAAAAATGCATATTTTTGGGAAAAAAACAATACAATTACTTTGAAAAATATGCAAAATCGTAGTCTATATATAGTACTCGATACCTTTCCGATACTGGGTAGGTATCGATACCTTGTTTGATACAAGTACAAGTACTGATTTGAATAATACCTTGATGGTATCGATTTATCCCTAGTTGATCGATTGAGCCTGTTTTCGCCACATTCTGCGGAACTGCGTTATTCTTGAAGTCGTGCATTTTGTTTTTTTAATTTTGATTTCATATGGGCCCAATAACGCTCGATCGTTTGCAGCACTGGGCAATTCGGAGGATTGGCCTCTTTTAGTACAATGTTGATTCCATTTTGTGTATAAAACTCTTTCGCTTTTTTTGCACAATGGCTTGTTGCCAAATTAGGCCAAAACAATACAGGTTCTCAGAATAACACTCCAAGTGCAACAATATGTTCAGAGAGATTGGGATTCCTTTTCAAAGTCCTTAGAACATCCTTCTACACTATTTTATTTATATTGCCTGATTTTCAGCCAGATTCCGTCTTTCTCTCAATGCTGCCATTTTTCTTGATATTTGACAATACATTTTGTACCGTCGACTTTCCAATTTTCGGCAATTTTACTAACCGATATAGGGAGATGTGTAGATTTTGCATGAATTCGTCCAAAATCGATTTTCTTTGCTGAAGTTCTTTGCTCTCCGCATCAATTATTTTTAAAGTTATGCATATGAAAATTAACTGTAATAAAAAACAAAGATTGCAAAATCAGCACACTAAATAAACGGCTGATCGAGTAGTCGATAACAAAGTTGTGCTATGTAGAGTACTGCCAGATTGAAGAAGAATGAAGCAGATCTTAAATTGCCAACATGAAGGCAAATTTATTGAATTCTCCTGAGTTTTGCCCGAAGCAAAGAGATTTTTTTTTGTTTTTTGTTGTAGTATCAACAATATTTTTATAAAAAATTCGCCGAAAATTTTAATTAAAAAATGTTGCATGCATTGTGAAAAATTCCTTGTGCCAATAATTTAGTGCGGCACTATCAGTGGCTCCTCCCCCCCCAAGACTGTGTAATATGTATTTTCATAATATTGAACTGAATATCGTGAAATATCATTACAATAATATATAACAGGTTTGTCCCACAAGCTACTTGTAGAAAAACTCGAGCAATGTTCAAACTGTGATCGTATATCAAAGAATATGTAACTCGAAGTGACTTTGAGAAGCTTAGGGAACAAACCTAATGAATGGATGCTTTTGAAAATTTTAATTCATGGAAAAAATGTGTCAAATTTCACTTGAGTTTGAAATTATAGCTGTGTGCTAAGCTCGAAGTATTGTGTTATTTAAGTAGGGCTATCAGTTTTTCGAATTCACTGAATTTTCCAAATTTTGAATTTATGTATTTAATTTTAAATTTTTAGTTTTTTAGTTATATTTTCGAATTTGTATTATTTTACACAGTTGAAAGTCACAGTAAGTTTGAATATTTTCACAAGTTCAAAAAAAAACGAGAATTCCAAAATTTTGAGTTTTTTAATATTATTAAATTTCTTGAAATTTTTTATTTTTAGGATAATTTCCAAAATTTCAAAAACTATCGAAATCCGGGAGATTCTAGAAATTTTGGTAAAACGAGAATATTTTCAAATGTACAAAATTATTGAGATTTTAGAAATTTTTATATTTTCCAAAATTTTGAGAATTTTATTTATCTTAAAATCCATCCTAAAATGTAAAAATGTGAAACATCACAAATTGTCGAAAAGTTATTATGTTCATGTACTCGTGTGTAAAAAATAGAAAATTCTTAGAATTCTAAAAGATATTAACATTTTTAAAAATTCCAAAATTGTTCCACTTCTCTGAACTTTTCCAAAATTTTGCATTGATATAACAAAGTTTGAGAATTTTAAATTTTTTGAAAACATCAACGTCCAAAAATTTTTTGAATCTTCAAGAATAACGAAAATTTTTTAAATATTCAAAATCGACGAAATATGAATAGGTTTCCAGCATTCGAAAACTTTTAATTTCGTTTGATCAATTTTGTATATTCGACACTTTTACTTAGAAAAAATTTGTTAGAATTCCTACAATTCTCAAAATTTTTTAAAAATAAAAAATTTCTAGAAATCTAGTATTCATCAATTTTGAAATTCCACTCAAGTTATTAAAAAGGGGAGCTTCAAGAAATTAAAAACTATCAAAACTCTAAAAATTTTAAATTGCGGTGATTTTTAAATTTATATATTACCTCTCAATACCATGATAAAAATACTATGAGGTAAAACCATGGCAAATAAAATAACTTTAAAATTCATTTTTTTATTATGCC